CAATGTAGAAGTCATCACAATTTTTCTTTATTTTTCTTATTTCAATTTTAAATATTTGATATTTTTCTGCGATTATTGATATTATTCAATTAATTATTTTTAAAATCAATAAAAATTTATTTTCTTCAGAGAATGTTTTCAAATCAGCGTTGCTTAATCGGTGCGCACTTTATATTTAACCAAATGCCGGTATAAGAGAGCCGAGTATACCGCCAACTATTATCGGAATACCGACATTTTCTTTAGTATATTATTGGATTAAAATTATAATTGATATAGGGTAAGTAAATTGTTTAGTAAATTGTTATTGTAATTTTATTTTATTTTAATTAATATTTTGAATTTTCTGGCTATAAGACTTCTGAAATGTAATTACAACTTATATTTAGGCGGCCCGTAAATTTGTAAAGGTTAAAAATCACAATGAAACAATACGCTTCTAAAATTAACCTAAAAATAAATTTGAAGTTAATGAAAGTAAATTTTTTAACAACTAAAATTAATTGTTGGGTAATTAATAAAATTTTAATCATACATACATATTCATTTTTAAATGTATGTCGAATAGAATATTTTATAATAATATTAAATACAATTTAGTTGAAAATAATTTTGGATTAATTTACACGCATCACATTCGTTTTGTATCTACTTTTGAGAGAAAATATTTCAAGTATTTGCAGGTTTTAAAAAGCAAAAAAACAAAAAATTTAGTTTATTCCATGATATTTTTCTATTTTTTCATGAGATTTAATTGATATTGGACCACACATTAGATTGGATTACACATTACATTTTCTTCAGATTTAAATTTAATCTCAAGTTTAAGTTATTTCTCACACTAAAAGTATATAAACATGAGTATTTGACAACTAATTCTATTTGAGAGTGACTCTTAAATATTTGACAATATACCAATGTCAATTGAATTTAATTTAATTGGTTTTTATTAAAACTCAATTATGTAAGCTAACAATTATGTAAACTTAATTTATCCCTAAACATTATTAAAATTATCACTAAAATTTACTTTTAATTCTCGCTGTATTTAATTTTTGTAGAGTTGGGTAATGCGAATAAGTCTACCCGATGCTGTATGACTCCCAACTTGTTGCTTAATCATCCTGTAAAGCCTTTATAGAAGAATTGACTTTGAAATTTGACATAAAAATTATCGAATAAATTAAAATCTTTGTTCAATTGTGCTCTTTAGAATTAAGAATTTTATTCTAATTTTAATTAGTGAGGACAAGGACATCTAAAATTGATATTTTCTGTTAAGCTTATTCTTAAAAAAAAATCGTTGAATGACCTACTTAGTATTATTGTGTATTCAATTGGCTTATTGCTCTTCTTTAATTAAATTCATAAACGTTATCCATTTATGAACAAATCGTGCATAAGGGGCCATTTGTATAATTCTTATAATATGAATTATAAGAATTCTTATAATATCATTTTTAAAATTAATTTCCAATACAATAATTTATTCGATATGCCTGAAAAGGTTAATTATTTTTTCATGTTATAATAATAGAATCTCTAATTATTCAAACTATTCTTGTTGTATTTTTAATTTTTGATACAATATATAAGTATATAAAGACTCTTAATTTTAATGATAATATAAAATAAATTGTACCATAGTTTCTTAAACTCTATATACACAGTTTTTGTTCAGTTTTAATATTTAACCGATTTCTGAGTAATTTATTATATAAATATTTATAATTAAATTAAAAAATTATATATATATTTTTAAAAGAGAATTTGAAAAAATAAATTATGATGTTATGAAAAGAAATTTTCAGCAGAATAATTAGATGCAAGATCAATGTAGAATTTCATCCAAAAATTAGGCAAAATTTTTTCTGAGAAAGCAACTATTAAGTGATTCCTTTTAAAGTTATGTTCTTCGAAATTTTTATTTAAAAATATTTGAAATACTATTAGATGATTAAGCGGAATTGATTTTAAATTTAGTCTATTTAATAAACCAGAAAACATAAAAATTAAATGATTGTATATTAAACATACCATTTCTTAAATTAGAGGAAGTGTAAACTTCGGCGAATTTCATGTTAGTAGATCTTAAAACTTAATTCTACTTCTGTTTGCCCTATTCCAAAGCAGAAAATTTAAACACTGAAGGAATCAACTCTATTTTTAAAAATAGTTGACAGCACTGCATAAATGACAATAAAATTTTGAAACTAAATACTTATAATTACTTATAATTATAGCTTTTTAATTGTATTTTTGTAAAATTTAAGTCAGTCATTAATTTTCATGCTGACAATATAAGAGTAGATCTTTCAAAGTTTTTTTACACAAAAACGATCTGCTTTTTACAGTGTTGCCTCACAAACGCACTACATTTTAAGATCTGAGTAAGATTTGCCAACATGAACTCAAACTATTATTCAAAAATTTTTTTTAAAAGAAATTTTAAGTAGAAGTGCCTATAATAGACCCTTATATTTCTTATATTCAAAAGCTATACAAGTAAGGATCACATATTCATAGGTTGTAGTCAATAATAAAAGTTAATAATAATGAAAATTGTGTTACACAATTAATTTTTAAATGTTATACCTAATTCTAAAATATTAATAAAATTACCAGTACGGAAATTTATTGAAGTTTAAGAAACAAAGTTAAAATTCCGATAGAATTTCTTTGTAAAATAACTTGACATATTGCATATAATATTGATATATGTAGAAAACTACGAGCGAAAATCATTTGATATGGGAAACATCTTTTGATTTAATAAAAGCAAGTGCCCAGTATAACCCCAATATAAACATATTGTATAACAAATTCTTTGCATAGAAAAAATATATAAAAAATAAGCGAAAAATTTCTTCTTGAAATTCAATGAAGCCTCATAAAAAAAAATCTATTTAAAAAACAAACAAATAAAAGGGTAAAGAAGATCTCGACTATTATACAAAAATATTTTATTTTATCCTTTGTGCTTTTTGTTGTTATTTTTTTTTTTTGTATTATTTTCTATTATTCCCAAGTAATTTAATTTTAATTTTTACTAAGATTTTTTTTTTTATATTTTCAATTACTCATAATTAATTTCCATTTGAATTGATTGTGTTCTCGAACATAACAAATTTATTATGTCATATTTTTTAGTGTGTGCGTCAATAAATGTATATGAGAGAGGACAAAATTTTTTATTGTATAAGTTCAAGGATTTTTATTTGGAAATATTAAATTGGAGTATGCCAAGTAAAATTTGCAAAAATATAAAAAAAATTAAGGTAAAATTTTTTAAAAATTCAAATTATGTATTTGTGTATGTATGCAAAATTTCAGTGAATTCCATTGTTGTAATATTTGTAAAAGTGAGGGTGATTGGGTATTAAATTAAAATTTTAAAGATTTCCTTTTATATTTTTAATATTTAAGCGTGCAATTGAGATTTATTAATTATTATGTAAATACAAAAATTCAAGTTCATGAAAATATCAAAAAAAAATTTGATTGAATTTCTTTGTAATTTTTTTATTTCATTATAAGCGTTTTTTTTATGAATTGTTCACACTTCTCAAGTGTTTGCATACAGTTGCAAGAGTACAATTCGTGTGACTCGTTTTAACCTACACTGTACAAAATGTATAATGCTGTCATTTTGAACTAATTTTAAAATTTGTAGTATGCCTAATTTTTTAATTCATTTGAAGTATTTATATGTGTAAATATTTTCGAAACAATTTCGAATTTTCTGTACAAGCTTGTGTTAGTTCACAAAATTTTGATATCCATTTTGAAGTTGTTAATCGTCGTTATTGAACCAATTTGAAAATATTGTTAATGTGCATAATTTTTAAAGAAATTTTTTGGATTTTCAATACAATGTTGAATAAATTTGAAATGATGAATTATTTTCGATTTTAAAATATGTGTAAATGTGTGTATATAATTTTCGAAATTATTCTTATATTTCAAATTGCAAATTTTTAATATACATAAGCAAAAACGTTGAATTTTCGTATGAGTCTGTTTTAAAAACCTACAAATCAGTTCATACCATTATGTCAAGCACATATATTTCAAACTTTTCAATATTATATAGAACTAACATATCAAAACATAATTATTGTCATACATAATTTGCGAACCAAAAAATATTAATAAAAATTTCTAATTATTGAATAAAAAAATATTATCGCTTTATAGTAAGATTTTTAATTCGATACTTTTATAATAGAAACTATTGTGCATGCGTGCAATATTTATATTCTATAATGAAAGTGAATAATTTAAATGCATGATAATTTGACAATCATTAACAAAACTTAACATGTTCAGAATAGTGCTATCGCAACACCAATAAGCATAGCAATATAATATAGAACTGTTACAGCAACACCGTAACAACACTTACGTAGTGTTAAATTTTACTTTTTGAGTTCACTCTTTGGTAGAATATAAAGCTTTTCGTGCAAAAATGGAAGAATATAACAATGAGGAAAATAAATATTAAGTAAATTGTATCAAAATATAACGCACTACGCACTGAAATTTATCGCGGTATGCGGTTGTCAAAATTTATTTCCGTAACATAAAATTTTATATAATAATATTTCCTGAAATTACGCCACGGCAAACGTGTTTGAATTCGATTAGTGTGGTTAAACTAAAAATTTGCCGCGTTCAGTATTCATTTAAGTTAGGTAACGTATTAAAAACAAGTTTTGTGAAACCTGGAATATAAGAATTCTAATATTAGTTTTTGGAAATCAATTTACAATTATAATTATTTTAAGTAGACATAGCATTTATTATTTGAAAGTGAAAATAAGAATTTAAAAGAAAAAATCTTCACAACAGAATTTAAAACAAAAATGTCGAATCAACTGAATCCAAGATTAAAATATTCTGATTTTAAATGTTTTAATTCAATTAAACAAGAATTTTTAATTTGTATTTTAATTCGTAAAGCTTCAAATTTATTAGTTTTAAATGCAAATACTTATGTTAAAATAATATTGGATAAAAAAATTAAATATACAAAAGTTTTTAAGAAATCTTCTAATCCATTTTATAATGAGGTAGGTAATAATATTGTAAAAAATTTTCTCTATAAAATTTAATTTTCCTTTTCAGAATTTCGTTTTTGAATTGCATTGTTCAGTTATAGAACTTTTAAATAAGAAAATTTTATTTGAAGTTAAACAAAGATTTTGTAATAAAAAGGACAAAATGATTGGGGAATTATTAATTGATTTGAGAAATGTATGGAATCAAACTGGTCATTTATTTTTTAAGAAATGGGGGAAATTAGAATCACCCTATGGGAAACGTAATGATATTCCAAGAGGATATTTACAAATTGATTTAACGATCATTTCACGTAATTATATACCGATTGAGAAAATGAAAATTGATTTCGATGATGATATTGAAAAGTGAATAAAGGCTACTAGTTTTGTTTTCTTCAATTTTTTGTATTGTACATTATATACAAAGTGTTCATTAATTATGGTAATTATTTTGAAAAGTTGAATGTACCGGAATGGATTTTGGAAGATTATCAATACTTATTGATATTTTTGTTGTTAAGTTAATTTTCCGTGAAAAGTATACTGTAGAGTCGAATACATTTTAAATTCTATAAAAAATTTTGAAATGACGTACGCTTACGTTCTGTAATTTTGAGTTTTTTACTCAATTCAATTTTTCAATACTTTGACTAAATACATTAGATTTGAGTTCATGTATTTTTAGGCAACTCTTATTGAGAACAATACAGAAATTAGTACCCGAGAATGTAACTTCTCATAATGAATAGTAAATAAACTTGACAAGTTTAAAATAAATAAATTCTACTCTGTTTTACTTGTCTTCTACACTTGCTTTCACTTAGACTTTTGATATAGTGCAACATTTTTGAATTCAACAGAAATCGTGTTACATAATTTAATGAACATCCTGTATTTTTTTTGATGAAAAAATTATAAATAAAAAAATAGTATGCTATAATCACATGCATATATATATATATTTTCCTCTTTTACAAATAGAAATTTATTTGAAGAAGAAATTTCCAATGAAATATCAAAGTGTGTAAAGTTCATAATTTCAATTTATGGTGGTGTTTTTCAAGTTAAAGGTGATTATCATGTTAAAATTTCATTCAGTGGACTAAATGTAAGTGATTTTTCTTGATTGTAATATTTTAATTTATAAAATTAGAATTTTATATCTTTGTATATATTGTAGGGAGTAACATCCACGTGTAATGGTACTGCAGCACCAGAATGGAATGAAAAATTTGAAATTAATTCACGTTTTCCATCTTTAACAAATATTATTCAATTTGAAATATTTAAAAATAATAAAATTATTTCGGAATATATTTTATATATTGATAATATTTTATTTAATGGTAAGTTTTTAAGAAATCAATTTATTATAAGAATTTGTGTCTGCCGCATATCACTCTTGTACTCATTATGAGTGTGGAAGAAACTGAGTGCAATATTTGAATTCAAAATTCAGTAATTTTTTTTTAAAGTGTTGCAAATTTAGCCCATCCGTCTTCCGGTTACATTTGATAACTTACATTGTTTAAAACTTTATGTGCATTCAACTAATGTCAATTGACTATTCAAGAATACATTTTTTAAATATTGCATAAGTTAAATTAACATTCGATCTGCATTTTTGTAAATATTCATTTGTAGTACTTACATTTTTATAATTAATTATAAATTTAAAAATGGCAAAAGTCAAAATTATACAGAAAAAAAAATTTGTCAACAAAAAATCAAATTTGGTATACTTGACATTCAGATAACATAAAAGTGGCACTTTTGTCACTGTTTGGTTTGCTCTTCAAAATTTCAATTTCAACTCTCTTCAAGTAATCATATTAGCTTATGTCAGCTGGTTAAAATTATAGACGGTGTAATTAGTTACGTACTTCAAAATTTATTAAGTACTTCAAAATTTGACCATTACATGTGGAGATTTATACCACATGGAGTCTTTACAAAGGGTGGTTTAGAATGCCTTTATAATTTTATTAAATATTGTTTATTGTATTTTATTGTATTAAATATTGTATTGCGTTTTATTAGTTGACATGTATAATGTTCAATCGAATTCATCTTAAAATTGGCAGAAAATTATCTACCACAGGCAAACAGGATAAAATTTATACAAAAAGCATTGAAAATTGTGTTACAATACAGTATGTATTTATGCCATATAAGCTGAACTCCACCAGTTTCATTAATCTCCAACCAAATCTATATTTAGTGTAGATTTTTTGCCTCCAACATTAATTTTAAGTATTAATTTTTTCTAATTCTAATAAGCCTTATCTATTATTTTTTTTCCAATAATCAAAATATTAAATTTGCATATTTCAATAATGAAATTTTCCGTAAAATAATTATTAGGAAAAATTATATAAAAAAATCATTTTGTATTTTTTTCCGTTTTCTTGAATTTCTTACCTCGTTTTTTTTTTCTGTCTATTAGACCTAAAATTCTAGAATCCTTGTTGAAAATATCAAAATACAATATTTTATATGAATATAAAATTAATTCGATTTTTTTTTGATTAATTAATTAAATTTGAAATTCGATATTTATGTTATCGACTTAAAGTAAATGATAATAATATTATTGAAAATTTTTGAAAACTTAATTAAGAATAACAATTTTTACATTAACATATAATGAAAATGTAGATATTATGAAATATTTAGGAAATTTATTGACTTTATATATACGCAAAATTTATGTAATATTCGAAAAAATTCCTAGAACATACTGTCTATAAGAAATTAATAATCAGGAAAAAAAATCATTGTATAATGATTATTTTCCTATAAATTACATAATATATTAATAATTTATTAGACATTCGAAATTCGTTAATTAAACTAAATAGTAACACAATCATTAGAAAATTCTAGAATTTTACATTGTAATACTACGTGTCACTTAAACATTAGACTTGTAGTAATACCGCATTATTCAAATTATTATAAATCTAATTCAGTTGACGCATAAATTGCTAAATTTAGCTAAGACATTAAATTTTTTTATATTTTACGAAATTATGGAATTTAATTGAATATTTTTGCTCGTTTTTTTTAGAAAAACTTCCAAAATTTGGTCCAACTTTTATACATTTATATGGAAATGATAATGTAAACACTTATATTGGTAGATTACTTTTAACAATTGATTCTGAATTTAATAAATATGAAAATTTAAAAAGAATTATTTTAAAAAAACAAATCCAATCAATTGATGAGAAATTGTGGTGGAAAGAGGAAAAATTTATAATTGAATGTTTAATATTACAAGGAGATTTTATACATTTAAAAAATGAAAATTTTATAAAATTCAAAATTAAATTTGCTGGTATATTTTGACAATTAATATCACTAACTTCAAAATTGTGTAGCAATTCGTTAATTAACTATTCACAATAATAACAGATCATAATGAGTTGAAGTATGTTTTATATAGCGATATATTTACTACAATTTTGAAGTTATAGAATTTGATTCTATCTATTAATATTAAAATGAAATTTGCAAAATTTTTAATTTTTTTTTTGTATTTTTAGAATATAGCTCAGAGTGTTACGAATTAAAATTAAATAGTTATGAAAATTTAAATGATTTGAAATATTTTTCATTGGAAGAGAATAATAATATGAAATCAATTGTCTTAAGGGTAACATGGCCTGATATAAGACAGAAATATGAAGTGGATTATTTTATACAGAGCTTTTTAAAAGAATTGGTAAATATTAATTGTATTGGATTTGGATGTTCTTAAACTTAAAATTATTCTTGTTATATGATGTTATTTTATTGGAATAGCATCCCGGTATTTAAGTTGTCATGTACAAAACTTGTATAAAGCATACTATAATCTTAATAAATTCCACGGAAATGAGTTGTTTTTGTAATGATTGCTCTTACAACTGCTCTTTCTATATTATATATTCGAATTAAATAGGTTTCGGGAGATGACCAATTGCTTTAAACAACTCTTTAGAAAAAAAATTTGTAGATCAGGGTTATTGCTGATAGATAGACAAACAAACGGACAATAAAACTTGAAAATCTTTATGTTTGTTTCCGAAATAGGATATAAGAAACGAAGATTAAAATTTTTAAGCCTAGTTTGTTTTCAAATGTACTAATTATGTTGTTCATTTAAAAATTTTACTTATGACCTATGTCTCATTCAATATTGTAAATTAAATTTTTTACAGAAGACAAAATTTAATGAATAATTTAATTATGGTAAAGCATAAAATTCCAACCTTTGAGGGGTGATTAACCATTTCGAATCACATTAACCAAAACTTCAGACAATGTTGTAATTAAGAGCAACTAATATGTCATAACCTTTAAATTTCTCCTAAAAATATGCAAAATAATAATAAAATTAAGAAAAAACTGGCCGTTAGCTACGATATATAAAAAGTTTATTTTTTAATTGTCTTTTATTTTAATTTTTTTTTTTTAAAGAATTTTGCTAAGGAATTAATTTAAAGGAAAGAGTTGATTTGAAATAAAAAGGACAATATTGATTTTATTAATAATTTGTTGTTGCCTATGGCGATTAGAGGAAATGTGATCTTAAAAATTCTATCGTTTTTTCTTCTTATTGTTTTAATGAAAAGACTACGCGATAAAATTTCCAAAAATTCTTATGTTTCCTATCAAATCGTCCTTTTTTTCTATTTTTTTGTTTACAAATTTTGTTTTTGATATTTTTAATTTAATTTATGTTTTTATTTTTCTCTTTATATTTTTATATATTTTCAGAAAACACAATTGGAATCTTTTAAAATTTTAAGGATAAGAAAAAATTTTAATGATGAAATTGAACAAGTAAAAAATTTACGTAATATAATTTCCAATATTTTAGCATTTTATGGTAAAAATAATGGTAAATCACATTTTTATTACCATGGTTCTTCTATTCATTACTTAACTAATTGGGATAAAAATCGTTTAAAATATTTGGAAAATTTTTTTGTAAGTTAATTTTTTTTTTGCATTTCTTATATTTTGTGAATTAATGAGAGATGAAAAGATTTAATTATTAAATGTAATGGATAGATTGATTACTAAAATTAATAATATTATACAATATATATAAATATATATATATATATATATATATGTATGAATTTGTTTTTGAATTCTTAATAAGAAGAAAACAAAGGTATACATATATTATTTTCCTAATTTATTTTTAATATTACGTTCCTTTCGACCGCCTATGATCTTTAAACGGTTAAAGTACTATTTTCAGTATTGTGGTAGGTTATAGATCCTGGATGAGAGGATTATTCTGGGTAATAATTAAATATTACTATGGGTAACAATTTTTGAAAAAATATCATAATTGAAGAGTTTATTGTTGTCGATATTAGTTTAAGTAAAAGTTCATTATTAAAAAGGAATAATATTGACGCGGTTGTTTAAAAAAAAGAGGAAAAAAAAAATTTAGATATTGCGATGTTTTATAATTATAATTTGGGTAGAAAATAATTAAAAAATTTCATTGACCCTTTCGTTTTCTATAAATTTCGAAAATTATTTTATTTTTTTTTTTTACTTAAAATGATTTATTTTAAAAAATAAGAAAAAAGTTCCACGTTCAACTTTACTTATTTCTACATTTCATATAAAAAATTAAAATTTCCGTATGGGGGCAGTAAGAGTTTTTTGTTTTTTGTTATTTACGTTCCATTTACACGTTCACATTTCTCATGAGCCTATATGCGTAATTTGTAATAGAACGATTTGTAAATAGAACGGAATTATTTTGGCTCTATTGCCAAAAACACATGATTCATCTTTTGCAAATCAAAAATTCTATTTCCATCTACCGGAAAAAATAACAAAACTGCACAGATCATTTATACATTTGTTTGAGGTAGTATAGTTTCGCTCAGTTTTTGCTACTCATGAGTAATTTGAACTTGTAAATGGAACGCAAATAATATGTCAATAATTTATTTTTTAATGACATTGACGTAAAGTCTTTATAACATTTTAAAATTTAAATTAGTTAAATAAAATTTTTGGAAACTAATTTTATATTTAAAATTTAATTTTTTCAACTTTAACGTATTTAATCAATGCGATTTTATTTAAAATATTAGACTACAATTAATATCACGATAATAATTTTTCTGTGATTTTATTAAAGAAAATTTTAATTAATGAATTTGAAAAATATCAAAAAAATTTAAAAGATGAAGCAACTGAATATGAAATTGAAGAAATTCTTACATTAATTGAATCCAAAATAAGAAAATTAAATGAAATATTAGAATCTCGTGTACAAGATGTCTGGCCATATTTAATTTTTCAATTAGAAATAGGACAAAATATTGTTGCAGCTCAAATTTTAAATACAAAAGAATTTATTTATACAAAACGAGAGGATTGTAAGAGTCATTTAAGTGGAATCCGTCATGAAATCCTTATGAAAGTATGAGTTTTAATTTAATTGAATAATTTAAAATATTCTTATATAATAATAATATCTGAAAATAAAATTTTAAATTATTATTTTTTAGTCAATTGAATGTCAACACACTTGTAATAAATGTGGATGTATTTATGGAAAATTTGACAGTTTAATTTGGATTGGAACTGAAGAAGAATATACTGAAAGATTATTAGATATTGATTTATTTCGAATGGGAAATAAAATATTTGAATATAATTTTAATGAACCAACTATTGTATCATGTCATATATATTTATATCAGGCAAAAATACGTCCTGGTAATGATAAAACTGGATTATGTGATGCTAAAATACGTTTTACAATTTTAAATAATTCATATGAAACAGAAGTTATTAAAGAATCTTTATCACCAATATGGAATGAAAAAATAATAATTAATGATATTAAATTGAAAGGTCCAGCAACATGGTATTCAGAAAATCCTATTCAATTAAGTATTGAAGTTTTTGATGATGATGGTTTAGGAAATTTCGAATATTTAGGTTGTGGTTTAATACCTGCTGCTTTTAAATTTAATGAATATGACATGGGATCAAAGAATTTTGAGGTTAGTATAACAAAAAACTACTTGCTTATTATATATAGGAAATAAATTGAAAACCATAACAGTGTAAAAAGAAATATTATAAAAAAAAAATTATTGACATTTTTTTCTTGTGTTCAAGGGCATTTCTATTAATCCTTTAAAATGGATTAATATCTATTTGAATGGATCAAGTACAGTTGAAATTTTAATGTCCTGTGAACTTATTGAATTCTCAGACGACAGTGAAAAGCTTGGCGAAAATTCTCAAGAAAAACCAATTATTGAAATATATAAAGATTTACCAGTGGAAATTTGTCCTTTATTAAAACAATTTAAGTAAGAATGTATTGGATTTTTACATTGAATAAACCGCAAATATTATACAGCACGTGTTTTCAATATTAAAAAACTTTGATATTATACTCGTATCAGAGCCATCATTTTGCTTCTAAATAATCTTGAATTCCGTTAATATGATTTTTAAATCCTGTTTATCATTGTTTCAAAATTTTGATTTTAATTTTATCTGAAAATTGCGTTTCTCAGTTATCGAAATGAAGATGATTTAAACGTGCATGTGATATTAAATTTTTTTTTGTTTTCAGAATTGAAATAATATTTGTTGGAATTCGAAATTTTAAGAAATTTTCTATGCCATTTTCTAATACTGATTCGAAAATTATTGTATTATTTGGAAATATACAATTAGAATCGAAATTAGATAAAATAAAATATGGAAAAAATATTAATTTTCTAAAATCGTTTTCATCTGGAATTGTGGTAATAATTTTCAATATTAATGCTGTTTTTTTGAAATTTTCATTTCTTTTGTAGGATCTCGCAGAACAATTAGAATATTGGCCACCGATTGTTATAAAACATATTGAAAAAGACAAACCTATTGGAGCAGCAATGATATCAAATCCTAGTAAATATTTTCATCAAAAAATTTTCCCTGTTAAAATTATTGGAAGTAAACATTCCAGTCGGGTTACATTCAATAGAAAACGTTTTGCTGAATATTTTAAAATAAGTAAAAATGAAATTGAAAATAATCTTGAAATTGGAATAATTAATAATTGCCATAAATATTGTATAGTATTAAAAAAATTCAGCAATTAGAAAAATCAGCTGAATTGTGTAGTGTTTTTTGTTTTTTTTTTCGATTTTAAATTTAATTCTGTTTAAAAATTAGGCAAATATCAAAATGTAGATCTAATGCCAACTGGATTTATTCAGCCATACAATTTTTGTTGCTGAATAAAGAAGACTTCAAATTCATTTTTGATTAGAGAAAAGCTTTGATGTAAAAATTCATCAATTTGTAATCTTCTTTATTCAGCAACTAAAGTTGTATTACCGAATAAGTATTGATCTGTATTTTGGTAGATGATTTCATTTTATTATTCATTTTAATTCTTTGTGTGCTTAAGTTACTAGTAGTTTTCAATCTGATATTTATTTTATATTTTTTTTTAGGTACAAACAATTTGAAATTTGAAAATGAGAGAACATTCTTGCTTGGAGTTTCAAAAAACACAATTAATGTTAGCAATATTAAGAAACTTATGTCATTAAATATTGAAAATTTTTTCAAATACAATTCTAAATCACATAATTTAGATTCGGATACTTCTGAGTATACATGGTGGACAAAATTTTATAATTCAATAAATCGTTTTCGAAATAATTATACGCAAAATCAAAAACATTATTTAATTATTTACAATTCTGAATTGGAAAAGCAATCTGAATTTGAATATTTTCATGATTGGGCTGACAATATTGATTTATTTCAAGGAATTGAACAAAATACAAATAGTTCAATTAAAGAAATATCATATTGTAATTTAAAATGTAAAATTAAAATTGAATATTTTGAAAATTATCAGACACCTTCTGCTTCTAATTACCAATTATCTGAAATTCCATTAATTAAAAAATTAAATGATATTAAATTATTACATGCAACAAATTTAATTGTTGTACGAATTTATATTGTTCAAGGATTACATTTAAGATCTCATGATAAAAATAGTCCACCAGATAGTTTTATAAAAATAAAACTTGGAAAAAAATGTATAATAGATCGTACTAATTATATACCAAATCAATGTGATCCAATTTTTGGTAAACGTTATCAATTAGATGCCATGTTACCGAGGTAAATACTGGTGTTGTTTAGTTTGATTTATTTAATAATTAAATTTTTTTCATTAATTTCAGGGATAATATTTTACAAATTTCATTATTTGATCGCGGTTCTTGTATTGATACGCTAATAGGAACTACAACAATTGACTTAGAAGATAGATATCGAACAAAATTTAGGGCAACTGTAGGAATATCTAATGAATACGATAGGTTAAGCAGTGCTAATCAAATTAACTTGTATATGTAGTTTTAATTATCTCCTTATATTCAATAATTGCAGAGACGGTTACAATAAATGGCGTGACAATAAGCAACCCAGTGCCCTTTTAGAAGAAATATGTGAAAAATATAATTTAAAGGAACCAATTTATTTAGAAAATTGTATTATTGTGAATGAAATAAAATTTGAAGATTCAAATATTTTTCAATACGGTAACATAGGCGGCCGCTTATAAATTATCGTCTGAAAACGGTACAAACCAAAATTAAAGTGAAACTTTTTTTGTTGTAGATCGAGATTTCAAAGAAAAATTGAGTTTATCGGCTTTGAAAAATCTGCATAAAATACCAGAAATTGGATTTAATTTAGTACCTGAACATGTTGAAACAAGGTCACTTTATCGAGAAGATAGTCCAGGAATAGAACAAGTACTAAAAATATTCAATAAATAATCTAAAAGATAGTTTCTTAGTAATTCTAAAAACAAATTTGAAAATCAGGGTAAACTACAATTATGGATAGAAATATTTGATTATGAAAATATTCCGGAACCAATTAATATTACACCTATTCCACCCAAAAATTACGAATTACGTGCTATAATTTATAATACCGGTGATGTAAAAATGGATGAAACAAATATTTTTGGTACAAAAATGTCTGATATTTATGTAAAATGGTGATTAAATGTGATAGAAAAGTATAAAATAATGCAGAAATTTTTTATTGAATTTCTAAAATATTTTTAGTTGGCTTGATAATGTCGATAATTTTCAACGTACAGATATACATTACAGATCTCTTTCAGGAGTTGGAAATTTCAATTGGAGAATGGTATTTCCATTTAAATATTCTGAAAATGAAGATATGGTAGTGTCGATTGAAAAATTATTTTAAAATTTAATATTTTAGAAATTATTTATAAATTTTAGTTAGTGGTCACAAAACGAAAACGTTTTCAAGATTCATCTGAAATTAAAATGCCACCAATATTTAGTTTGCAAATATGGGATTTAGATAAATTTTCGGCAAATGACTTTCTAGGATCTTTAGAAATTAATTTATCAAATTTAGCAGAACCAAGTCAATCGAAAAGGAATTGTAATTTAAAGACTGATGGCAAGAGATTAATAAACTTATTTAAAGAAAAGAAAGTTAAAGGATGGTTTCCATGTAGTGGTCATAATAATACAAATGGTTATGAAGTATCGGTAAGTTGAAATTCGTATAGTTTCTCCTATAAAAAGAAATATGTATGTATATTTTAATTTGTATTGAAGGGCAAAATTGAAATGGAATTAGAAATTTTAACTGACAAAGAAGCTTTGAATGATCCAGTCGGCTTAGGACGTAATCCACCAAAAGCATTAAAAGAACCAAAGTAAGTAACGCAATAAGATACTACAATATTAGGCCTTATTCTGAATATCAAATTAACATTATATTTAATTTGTTTCATTTGTTTTAGTCGCCCGAAAACATCATTTGATCCCTTCACGAATCCAATAAAATCATTAAAATTTATTATAGTACCAGTTTTTAAGAAATGCTGCATCTATTTTTTATTTTTAATTTGTATGTTATTTGTTATTTATGCTCTTTTATTCAGACTTCTTGAGATATAAGAATTTTATATTCAATTTTTAAAATTAAAACTTAATAATTAATTTAAATTGAAACATTTAACAAATATTTTATGAATGCTGCAATCTTAATAAACATTTCTTCATAATTTGGTTTTTCAAATTCGATACTTGCAGAGTCATCTGTTATTAAATTAATTACACTTTTGTGTTTAGAAATTAGTTAACGTAAAAATAATGAAACAAAAAGCATTGAAAAGTTTATTACCTATTCAGCTTAAAAATATTTATATCTATTCATCTGAGACACAAACCTATTAAATAATTTTAGGTTCAAATATAGGAAATTATAAGCTTTTTTTATGAAAGTTGATTTTTTCTTTTTTTTTATCACAGAAATGAGCCAATCAAGTTGTTTATGATAAAATTCAGTTTTCTTTAAAATAAAATTTGATTTTTATATTTTTCAAAATTTCAAAAAACCAGTAAATGTAATTGATGTACACAAACTTTCTAAGACAATGGAAATGTGCTAAATAGGCTTCTGAATGTAATCTACTTCTGGCAGTGGGATATTAATATCAACATCTTCTCTTAGTCCTCATTAGCTTTTTGGGTGTTTACCATTTATTTCGTAAGTTCGGAAATTGTTAAAATAATTAGAAGAGAGATGCTCTTTAAAATTACAATTAATGAAGAATTAAAAAAAAAAATATCTGTACAATTAAAACTATTTTCTAATACAGTACTCCATTATAAACTACTCCCAGCTACTGTTCATGTATTCTTATAAATCTCTAATAAATTTCTGAACTTAAGTTAAAAATTTCAACTCCACTTCTATACTCAAATCTCAAATAGTGAAATAGTGCACCTGTAACTAAATTTGTTTCTTTATTTAGAAGGTTTTATTTTCAGATTAATTATGCATACTCTAAATTAATAATAGAAAAATTTGATATGCTAACGTAACATGTTTCAGAAAAGAAATAAGCGTTTTCAGTAAAATTATTTATGATCGATTAAGTTTGAAAATTTCCAAACTAAATTTTCGGGGTGGAAAAATGCCATCCGAATGAATCGAAATTTTACAGATAAGTATGGTTTTCACACCATTCTAGAAAATTCCTAACTACTCGGTTTGGGAACAAAACCGAATAAACAAAAAATATTAAAGAACGCTCCGATATAATATGCTCCTCCACTTAATTGTTGCTGGTATTATACAACAAGTTTTTGCCAAATACAATACACTTTTGCAAAACCTTTATTATTGAATTCTATAATTTTTTTTACGTAATTAAAAGTACACCTATATTCAATTTTTAACTTATGAAGAGCCCTCCTGATTTTGTAATATAAAAATCACATAAAATAAAGAGCAAAAAAATTAAGTGTGCGTTAAGAATTGGCCATTCTGATAGTTTCATGTTAAATTACAATTAATCCTTTTTCAATATATTAGCTATATTATATGTACTTAATTTTAAGGTATTTCAGAGGACTTTTTTAGAAAAAAAGTAAAGTTCACATATATATAACAAACATACATGTATACATTTGTACTTACATAAATTTTTTTGTTGCATAAAAGAACACAAAATTTATATATAACAAATTTTCCCATTGATATAGAATTTCATGCTAAAATTTTACAGACACAGATAAAATTACATGATTTCTTGATATTTGCTTTACTTATTCTAACTCTATATAATTATATATATATATAAATATATTTGTGTATATTTATATACATATATGTATATTTTCGTTTAAAATTACCAACCACTTGTAATGAATTTCTTAACTTTTTGTAAATATTTTTGTGCATAAAAAAAAAATGATTTTATAAACTATTTTTGAGTCTACATTTTAAAAGATCTAATGATGATTGATTGATAATCAATATAATAATGTTAGTTGTTATTGTGCTGTTTACACAAAATTAAAAGTACCTACTTAAACTCAATTCATATATAATTTAATTTTTTTTTTAAATTGTATTTTTAAATTAAAAATTAACTGGTTTTTTTTTTGGTAGACTTGAAATCGTGTTTTTATACCCTGCACTTCGTGAAGGGTATATTAACTTTGGTATGGAGTTTGTAACTACTTGAAGGAGTCATCTGCGGTATGGACATATATATATATTCTTGCTCAGCGTAAAATTCTGCGTCGATTTAGACATGTCCGTCCGTCCGTCCGTCCGTCCGTCCGTCCGTCCGTCCGTCCGTCCGTCCGTCCGTCCGTCCGTCCGTCCGTTCGTCCGATCGCACGATAACTCAAAAACGAATAATGCAATCGACACCAAACTTTCACAAGTTTTTTCTTTTGTGCCAAGGACGAACCCTATTGTTATTGGACTAAATCGGACAACGGGTTCGGGTAGCTGCCATACAACTCCAAGAGTTTATTTTAATTATTTCAAAAACCAATAAAGCTATAAATATAAAATTTTGTATACGTGTGTCCAATTATATTCTACACATGCTCTAAAAATTATAATGGGATAGCTGCACCGGTTCGGGTGGCTGCCATACAACTCCAATAGCAAATTTTTTATATTCGGCAAAATAATAAAGTCAGATTCATGAAACTTGGCAGTCATGTGTCCAATTATAGGTCAAATATATTTCTGAAGTTTTAGAGGAATCGATTGACAGGTTCGGGTACCTGCCATACAACTCCAGAAGCTAATTTTAAATATTTGGAAAAATAATAAAGTCAGATTCATGAAACTTGGCAGTCATGTGTCCAATTATGGCTCAAATATATTTCTAAAGTTTTGGTGGAATTGCTCGACAGGTTCGAGTAGCTCCCATACAAGTCCAAAAGCTTGTTTTAAATATTTGGAAAAATAATAAAGTCAGATTCATGAAACTTGGCAGTTGTGTGTCCGATTATAGATCAGATATATTTGTGAAGTTTTGACGGAATTGCTTGACAGGTTCAGGTACTTGCCATAAAACTCCAAAAGCTTATTTTACATATTTGGAAAAATAATAAAGTCAGATTCATGAAACTTGGCAGTTGTGTGTCCGATTATAGATCAGATATATTTGTGAAGTTTTAGTGAAATTGCTTGACAGGTTCGGGTACTTGCCATACAACTCCAAAAGCTTATTTTACATATTTGGAAAAATAATAAAGTCAGATTCACGAAACTTGGCAGTTGTATGTCGAGTTATAGGTCACATATATTTCTGAAGTTTTGGTGGAATTGCTTAACAGGTTCGAGTAGATCTCATACAAGTCTAAAAGCTTATTCTTAATATTTGGAAAAATAATAAAGTCAGATTCATGAAACTTGGCAGTTGTGTGTCCGATTATAGATCAGACATGTCCGTGAAGTTTCTATTGAATGATTTCAGAGGTTTGGGTAATTGCTACACAATAACGAAAGGTGCAGGGTATAATTCAATCGGTTTATACCGACTGAAACGTTTTTACTTGTTTAAATTATGTTCATTTAGGTTTTCTTATTTCTATGTACACAATATACGCATAAGCTCGTAAATGTTTTGAACTTCTTTGGGTACATTATAAATTTATTAATCGTTTGTAACCATTTATCTAGTATTAATTGTGCCTTTTTGGAATAAATTGCATGTGACACTTTAATCGCTGCTTGTGACACTTGAAACTTTGTTTGTAATACTTGAAGCTGTACATGTGTTTGGGTATAATTCAAATTATCCAATTACTTCTTATTTTACTCGTTCGCCTCATTTTCATTGTTAACTAAATATTTGATTAACTCATCGACTCATTTTAATTACTTTGTAATCAGGATGAAATATAAGTGTTTTTGGACTTAAAATAAACAATTTGTTAAAAGTTTGTGTATACGGGACCGAAATCCATTTGTATATTATATAAGAGTTATTTCAATGGAAACCTTAAATAATGTTTAGGGCGATGAATTAATTTATAATTCCAATGTTACTAATTTTAATATTAACAAGTCCATTCTGTTTAAGAAAAACATGATTGTTCTTCTAGTACAAAATCAGTTTATCCTATAGTTTGCAAAATCTACAGTTTATCTACTTCCTCATTCTCTAATTTTCATGCATAATTTTTATATTTTTACATACATAGATGGTGTAATATATAGGTGAAATATTGTTAAAACTTAATTGTAGAATTTCAGATTTTCGAATAACGAAATTTTCTTAATTTTTTCTCGATGTGGGTAAAAAAATATGTACAAGTATGTATAAAGTGTTTGAAGCTTGATAATTAATCGAAAAACATGACCTGGTTATGTGAGTTCAATCAGCTTGAATTCTTTCATTCCATTTTTCCTTCTTTTTTTTTTCTTTTTGGTATTTTGTTGAAATCATTTTTTTACAAATTTGCAATTTAAGTGTATATAAAGTGCCTAAAAATAAAAAGAAGGTATAAATGATTTTTTAATATTATTTAGTTTTCTTTAAAATTTAAATGTTTTTAATGTCGGCTCATTAGTAAACTATAAATTTTTCGGTTTATATAAAATGTAATAAAATATTTATATATTAGAAGCATAAACATTTTTTTTTTATATAGAATCACTTATGTAATAAATATTAATGTATAAATTAAAAATTTCAACTTTTGATATTTTCTGATTTTATAATGCAATAAAAGAATATTGGAAAGTTTTTGTGGGTTCTCGAATTTTTGATCTCATATACATATAATATTAACTTTTGTAATTAAATAAATCTCTTATATAGGATCTAAAAATAAAAATTGACATTTTTATTAAGTTTATATACACAGAGAAAAATTATGACTATTAGTTTAACAACAAAATTATTGATTTCTTACCATATTCTTTGGGCAAACTTCTTATATTGATTTTTGTTTCATTCAAAGGCTAAGAGCAAGCGGGCACTTGAATGTACTAATAAATTTGTTTTCTGTTTGTTCGATTGCTTTTACATCAATTTCTATCAAAACTCAGAACAGCAAATTCATAATGGAGTGAGGTTCTGTTTAATAATAATGATGATAAAATGTTGTCAATTTATGGTTTTAAATCGTT